GTGAAGTCTGTTCCGACTCATAGCAACAGAGTAGAAAGGCCCTAGAGGGTTTCCTAGGCCGTAATCTTTACGGGAGTGGATGGCCAGGTCTTTGCTTCCCCAGAGCGGCTGGATGGGTTTGAACCAGTGACCTTTCAGTTAGCTGCCGAATGCTTAACCATTGTGCCACCGGAGCTCCTTAGTTGTTTCACAGAGAATTGATTATAATTATTATTAACACCACTTTATTCCTCTATTTAAAGTTATTTAACTTTCAGTTACTTTTTAAATGGTTTTGTTAGATGTCAAAGAGATTTGATTTGTTAAATTTGTGATTATAAAAAATTTACCCTGAATGGGATACTTTTTTTTTTTTTTTTTAATTAGAAGATGGTCATTGGGATTATTTAGGGAGCTTTTTCAAAATATATAAGTTTGGGCCCTATACTGGGTGGGAATTCTGATGTAATATGTATCAGGTTTAAAAGATATGTGGTTCTTTTTAAAAATAATATTTGAGCTTCTTGTTTCATTTTAAAAACAGTACATGTTCTTTGTAGAGATTATGAAAAAATTATTGATTAATTGTGTTTCCTTGCCCTTTTTATATTGTAAGAGTTTGTATCTTTACAATCTTACAGTCTCTTGTAGTGAGCTAAAATATAATTTAATAGTTTATAAATTATGTAACAACTTATTTATTTTGATTTTTCTTTTTAAGAAATGTTTTCTTTATTGTGTGTAACAATAGCTACTTAGAAAACATAATGGAAAAAAATCACAATCACAGCAAAAAAATGTAAACTGCCTAGGAATTAACATAATTGAAATGTGTTGACCTGTCTGAAGAAAACACATAACTTATACTAAGCTCTCTCGAAGAGGATTTTTAACTAAGAGCAACGCCATGCTCCTATTTGGGAAAACTCAATATTGTGAAGATGTTATTTGGAATTAATTTGAAAAGTTAATTTCCATTAGGATAGGGTGTAGAGAAGAAGCTTGTCAAAATAAATCTAATATTCATCTGGAAGAATGAAGTAAGTAATAATAATGAAATGTAATTTTAGAAAAATTAGAATCGGACTTGTACAGTTATATAATAAAATGTATTATAAAACCACAGTAATTAAAACAGTTTGGTCTGGTGCAAGATTAGTGGGGAAAGTAGCTCAGAAATAGTTCCAGGTATGTACAGTATATGATAAAAGTAGCATTTCAAGTTGATGGGAAAAAAAAAAGATATGCAAATAATATATTAAAACAATTGGGAACTTTTGGGAGAAAAAAATTAAGTTAGACCTTGATCTCATATCACACTCTATAATGACTTCCAGATTGTTTAAAGGGCAACTATAAATGTGGTTTTTAATTTTAGAAGATTGAGCCTTAGCTAAACAAGCAAGGTGATTTTTAAAATAAAGTAAAATATATTATCTTTTTGCCATGACCCCTTCAAATACATTACAGCATTCTGTATATTAAATTTTTAATGTTTTGGTGATAGATACTCATTCAGATGTTCTGATGTTTCAGAAATCTTATACATCATATTAATAAATGTAAGAAAATTAAAGATTCTGTATTTGGATTTATTTATGCTTCTATGCTGAGCCGTTGTGGTGCAGTGGTTAAAGTGCTAGACTGCTAAGCAAAAGGTCCACAGTTCAAAACCACCAGCAGCTCCGCGGGAGAAAGATGTGGCAGTCTGCTTCTGCAGAAATTTACAGTCTTGGAAACCCTATGGGGTCACTATGAATTGGAATTAACTCGATGGCAGTGGATTTTTTATTTTTTATTTTTTTATGCTGAGGTAGTAGTTTTATAAATAGAATGGGGAGAAATTATTCTGTACATGAGATGGTCATATACTCTTTAAAAATCTGGGAAGGGTTATGGTTTTGAGAGTATATTTAGACTGAATATGCTGTCAATAATGTTTATATCCTTTGACCCTAAAAAACTCAAATGCACAATATGTATAAGGATGTTTACTACAGATACATTTTTTTTTGGTAATGTAAGAAAGTTGAGAACATCAGTAAGTTATTGAACAAATAAGTTATGACCTTATACTTACAATTAAATAGTCTATGGCTGTATCCCTGTCTGTTTGAATGACTGTCTCTTGATCAGTGTACATCTGCATGAGTACAGTTAAGTGTTTGGAAACTCCCATTCTTTGCAGTGATCTCTGTAATTTGTTATGAACTGTACAGTCAAATGTCTTTGCATAGTCGATAATACACAAGTAAACATCTTTCTGATATTGTCTCCTTTTGTCCACAATCCACCTGACAACAGCAGTGATATCCCTTGTTCTACGTCCTCTTCTGAATCCAACTTGAACTTTTGGTGATTCCCTGTTGATGTATGGCTGCAGTTCAGTTTTGAATTATCTTCAGAATTGCCCACATGTGATATTAATGATATTGTTCAATAATTTCTGCATTCTGTTTGATCACCTTTCTTTTGAATGGGCACAAATGTGGATCTCTTTCATTGGTTGGCCAGGTAGCTGTCTTCCAAATTTCTTGGCATAGATGAGTAAGAGGTTCCAGCGTTGCATCCATTTGTTGAAACATCTCAGTTGGTATTCCGTCAATTCTGGGAGCCTTGTATGTCGCCAGTGCCTTCAGTGCAGCTTGGACTTCTTCCTTCAATACCAGCAGTTTTTGATCATACGCTATCTCATACAATGTTTGAGCATCGACCAATTTTTTTTGGTACAGTGACTTCATACCGCATCTTCTTTTGATGCTTCCTGTGCATTCAGTTTTTTTCCCATAGAATCCTTCAGTATTGCAGTTCTTCAGGGTGGCATATAGTTAGTGCTTAAGAAATATTTATAGAATGAACCAATGAATTCCTTACTGAATCTCTCCTTTAATTTCCGGGCAGTTGCCTAGTAGGATTCTGAGCAGCTTCCAGGGGTAACTATCCTAGGATCTTTTGACAATTGTTTATAACTAGAAGTTAACAATGTATGATGGATCCATGCTTGTTATTTTATTTTTTTATTAAAAACTCTTTTTTAGGTGTAATTTGTGTACAATAAGATGCTCAGTAATCATAGTTATATCATGGAATCCATTTTTTAGGTAAAGAACTTATTGTTACTTGAAAGAAAATAAAGAGCAATCAGTGGAATAAATGTAACACCTGAAAGATAGCTTATTTGAAGGGCAGTATCATTTGGATGTGTAGTTCTTCTCATTTCTTCAGCAAGAGTTTTTAACTTTGGAGGTCTAGTTCTATGAAAGGGCTTTAGTAGACCTGTGAACTCCCTGACATAGTTTGCAAAATTGTGTATGTGCACGCATCATATTTACTTCTTTCTAAAAAAGCAATCCATAGCTTTGTTCAGATCTCAAAGAGATCTGTGACTTCCCCTTCCCTTCACCAAAAAAAAAGTTTAAGAGCCATTATTTTATATCTTGTATGTCATGATTTATATGTAGTATTAGTTCATCAATTTAGTTTTTTCCTTTTTATTGTTTATTATGGAACATTTCAAACCTGCAACAAAAGAGAAGAAATAGTATAATGAAACCAGTATAGCAATTAATCAGCTTCAGTGGTTATCAACTCATGGCCAGTCATATTTCATCTATACCCCAGTACACTTTCCTCACTATCCCCTCCCTATTTATTTTACAGTAAATTCCAGGCATCATTTCATCAATAAATATTTCAGTATGTATCTCTAAGCGATAAGGACTATTGTTTTAAAACCTACTGCAATACCATTGCCAAATATACAAATAAGCTATAATAATTCCTTAATTTAATATCATCAAACAACCAATCATGTTCCACTTTCCCCGGTTGTTTCATATGTTTTTTTAACTGTTTGAATTAGGGTCCTAATAAGATTTATACTTTGTAATTGATTATTAATATATGTTTTTTAAATCTCTTTTAATATGTAGGTTCCATCTCTCTCTCTTATCTTGCAGCTGAAGAAATCCATCACTCTGACTTAAGAGCGTTTGCTATTTGAAAATAAGGGGCATATCTTACTCCTTTTTGGACTTCTTGCTTATATAGTACTTAGTATAGTGCCTTATATATAAATATTTTAAAATCTTTCTGGAATTGAAGAAAAAATTAGAAAATCTGATTTCTTTTTTTCTAGGTAAAAATCTAATATGAAATTTGGCAATGTAGTCTTTTTTAAGAAAGGTGCTTTCATTTTAGTTGCTTCAAAGACAGTTCCCCACCACTGCCAGAGGTTCTTTATTTCTTCTTGTTCTTACGTTTTGAGCCTCAAAATTTTTAACAAAGAAAAAATTATTGTTTCTTTCTCATTTTAAAAATATGTGCATGTTTTTATTTATTTTTTGGAATTCAAAATTATATAATTAGAATATTCTCAATAATCCTTTCCTTCAGACGTAAACACTTAATAGGTTAGTGTATATGTACTTTCAGGCTTTTCTCACATTTTATATAATTTTTAAATGGAATTGTAGTTTGCATGCTATTTATTGTACAATTTGCTTTTTCTACTTGGATGTCTTTCCATTTTAGAAAACATAGATCTACCTTCTTCAAAGACTTTATTTTCTGTAGTATATATGTGTATATATTTGTAATCAGTTTGCTGAATATATTACCCTTGATTTCTAGCTCATTTAGCTTTGTCATTTATAATCTGTCGCATGGTTTTCCATGGTGTATAACTTATTTCAGTTGTATACTTGTTAAGAGCTCCAGGCATGGACTGTGCATTGTCTTGGACATCGTGCTGTTTGATTTCACTCAGTAAACTTGTGTTTGTCATTTTGAAGCCTAGTTGTTGGTGAAAATATGAAAACATTAAGATATATGGTTTCAAATGCATCATTAAGGAAAAAAAGCTTATTTCTGAAAAAAGGTTTTTTTTTTTTTTTAATTAGCAAGCTTCCTTATCTAAAGTAATATACTAAGTTTCTCCTTTAGTAAATGGCACAAATCTTTTGCCTTTGGTAGTTTTTGTAAGTATTGTTATCTTCAAGTTCAGCACTTTTCTCTTTCAGAGGTAAAAGAAAAATAAAAGGTAGAAGAAGATGCTGGGATCTGAACGTGGTGTTGTAGAAGAATGGTTGTCAGAATTCAAGGTAAGTTGGATTGAGGGTAAGGATGTATTATGTGATTTTAGATGTCATTAATTTAAAGAGTTAGCAGATGTGTGCTCTATGGAGAAACCTGTAGTAATGTTTTGATATGAAGTGAAAACAGTAAAATATAAAATAACATGTTTCAGTTATAACTCTTTAAAAAAGCACTGAGGTGGATAATGGTTAGAAGATAATATGTAAAAATGAAAATAGTTGTTAGGATCAATGAGGAAATACTTAAGTTTAAAAACATAGTCAATAAAAGAAGGGATGCCTCCAGGCTTCAGTAAGGCCCAGAAATAGGGTTTGTGCTTTAGGCTTTTATTTTCTGTAATTAGCAGTCACTCATTGATTTGACTGAAAGCCATATAACTTAATAACTCTATACAAATAAATGTTTTTTAAAAACATACAATGTAAATATTGCAATCTCTCCTACATTATATTTTAGACCAGATTAGTTTAAGGTGACGCGTTTTGGTAAATCTTGGTATAATTTGTGATTTCTAATAATTTTTCAGAGTTGAGTAGTTAAAAGAATTGCATTAAATAACATCCTAACTTAATAGTTTATTTCTTCTCATGGTTATTTCCTATATAAATTATTTTCACTTTTCTTGGTTGACTCTATTAATACTCTTTTCAAATTGAACTCATGTAAAATAAAGTTCCTGACACCCCAAATATTTAAGTTCACTTTTGTTTTCCTTTGGTGATTTCTTTTAGGCATTACCTGACACTCAGGTCACCAATTATGCAGCAACTTTACACCGGAAAAAAACACTGGTACCAGCCCTCTATAAAGTTATTCAAGATTCAAATAATGAGGTAGGAGAGTTCATAAGAAAAATAATTCTAGCACAGTGAAATGAAATATGTGTACCAAAACCCATATGTGTAAATTTTGTAGTTTTCCCTCTTAAAAATTTTTTTTCTTTTTTTTAAGTTGTGGGACTGAAAAACTTTCTTTCTGCTGTTTTTCATTCTGATAGTTGCTTTGGCTTTTTCTGACCCCTTCCTTTTCATATTTAAAAATGTTGTAATCAAATTCGTTCCTGTTGAGGGCAGTATATTTTGATTCTTGATTTGAGTGACCATCATCTCAGTAGATTATTATTTAACTTGAAATTTTTCTCTGTGAATGTCCTGTTCCGGAAGCCAGAATCTAACCATATTGTGATTGATATTTATTTATTTTAAAAATGGTTCACAGTTATTTGATTTATAATATAGAACTATATATAATCACTCTAATCAGTGAAATCAAACTTATAACACAAAATGCTGCTGCTAGTAAATGCTAAAAAAGATCAGAGAAAGCACCTTTTAGTCTAAATGATCAAGATCAGTTAGAGTTTTCTGTTGTTCAGCCTTTGATAGAAGAAGGAAAAAAATACAGCTATTGAATCCATATATTAACTTATGCAAAATACACACATTATCTTTCCATTAACACATTGGTACAACATACAGTTTTATCACCACTGGTTTCATGTGTGCTTTAAAATGAAAATGAAAGGAACACACAGGAAAGTAGCTTCTTATCTTCCCAGATACAGCCTCCAAGAGTGCCTCTGCTGTGTACTGGAGTGAGTTTGAAGAAGTTCAGGTAATCATCTCCTAACCAGCAGCTTAACTTAAAGTGCATCTTTATTTTTGTTCTTTCGCTAAAAGCTTGCTTATTGACCTCTTCCTTTCCTATCTCTTCTCAGTTAGGCTTGCATCTGTTGCTATTTGTAGCAGCAGTTGCAGGGTTCGTCTGCCTCTTTTTCTTGTGCTGTGTATTTCTGAATGTTTTGAAAATTTAGGTGTGGGTAATGTACATATATGCATATCCTTCTTGGTCAGGAGTTTTCAAAAATCTGTTTGAATAATAAATGTGTGTATTCCCTACCCCTTGTTTTGTGCTAACTTAACATTTAAACTTTGCTTATTGAAGTTTGTGTGTTTTATGCTTTCTCTTTAGATTGTAAGCTCTTTATGGGCAGTGATCATATATTCTCTATTTGTTAGTTCCCTAGAATCTAGTACTTTATCATGTACGTAATGAACACGTGATAAATATTGGTTAAAAGAATAGTGAACTGCAAAATGAGATTCTAAAATGCTGTCATTTTCATTAGGACTCACGTGTATAAAAAGTATCCTTTGCCTTTTTAAAAAATTTTTTAAATTTTTTTTCTCTTTTTACTAGCCCACTACCAAAAAATATCATCTTTGCATTGTCAGGTTACAAAAGAGGCAAAAAATTTCTTTATCCTCATTTCTCTCCTCTGATGGATGTTGATAGTGCTACTGGTAACTGAGAATTACCTGGCAAGGGTGTTGGCCCTTTGTATATGTGCTAGTAACAAACTCCTTTGAAGAAAGGAAAGGGGGTATAATGACAAGGAAGGAGAGGCTAATATTAATGGAACCTAGGCAACTTGAATACATATACTTGATTTTATAAATGTTTAGCTTATGCTGCGCCTTTGAAAAATTCCAGAATTAGAATTTTCCAAGGAAACAGTCATAAAGAGAAATGGAAATAGAGGGAAAAATAGAAATGATGTATTCCATGAAGATTTGTTCAATTATTTTCAGATTATTGTAGGCTAAAATGTGATAAAGGAAAAATGTCACTTTATTTCCTTATTTTACCATAATTTCTTTGGGGATTCCTTGAGGCAACCTCAAAATGTATTTATTTATAGAATTACAAATGTGATTAAGTTGAGGGTTGACCTAGAAAGGGTTTTTTTTGTTTCGTATTAGTATTTTATTACATATTTAAGATATATATTGCAATTTATATATTAGGTTCTGGCTTAGAAAAAGGAGTGCAGAGGTACATAAATATT